TGTGCAGGAGCATATAGCAGCTTTTGTGCACTTTGCAAAGAAAATACAGATAGAAAATCCCTTAAGTCTTTACTGGCTTGTTCTGTCTGTAGCTAGAAAGATGCTATGTTGCTTCTGAGCCCTTTCCATTAAATTCTTTTTCTTCTTTCTCTTGTCCTTCACTTTTGTTGTCCTTCGTCCTAATTGGAAAACAAAACAAAACCAATCATGAACCGATTGCCAAGGAAAGGATGATTTTGTACTTTTGAAGTGCTACAAAAAGTATTCCAGAAGGTGGTCAGACAACTTGAGGGCTTTCAAAATGAGCACTGGGAGCATTCCTGTGATACAGTTACCTGCTAATGCCAGTAATGGGAAAAAACAAATGTTTGTTGTTGTGCTTCTGGAAAGATGGTCTGTGACTGATGAGCACTAAAGCATATGCATAACTTTGCTGGTCTGAGTAGGCATGCTTATACAGAGAACTTGATGTCACTGCAATTACTAATAGAGGCAAAAGCTGTGCAAGTGCCCAAGAGACTTGGCAGAATTGAGGCCTCAATTCAGAATTTCTATTATGGCTAATGAATACATTATGCCTAACTTTCCCTTACTTGCAAAGGCACAATATATTACTGTAAAGAAACAAAAACACAGTTACATTTCTTCATCCAACACTAGCTTCATACTACATACTGCTTTAAAATCATCAAAAATCTCAAAGGACAAAAAGACAAGACTTGTGATCTAATTCATTCCCACAGACCAGCTGCAAAGAGACAAATATCAATATAACACTATCATAAATGAATCCTGCCATGAATGTTGTGACAAAACCTTTTGCACTAGAAAATGCTGCATCCCTCAAAGTAAGACTCTCATCAGCAATACGTAACTTCCAGCAAATGTCCTAATTCAAAATAATGAAAACATGAAATTCTTAAAATATCTTCATTTGACTCTTTAAAATTAATTTTCATTTTCTCAGTTCAGAGTACAAAACATGTTTTTCAATCTCAGCTGATTTGGAGAAAAAATAAATGTTATAAAATTGAAATCAAACAAATATTTTGAAATTATCTAAATATTTCAGTTAACCCTATCCTTTCTCTCTCTTTTGGTTTATCTTGGATTAATGAAAACATACTGATTTTTCGTCTTTTTTATCTATGTTCATCTTTTACCTAAGTTTAAGTAGATGCCTAAGTGCTGCCTTGAAAAGGGATGTTTTCTTGAACCAGGGCCTTACACATGAGCCTAATGTGAAAGTGCATAAGGTTTTGAGAGATCAAGGCCTTGGGGAATTTCTGGATTCTGTCTGAGGTAACATTTAACGCTGTAAATAGTCCATGGAAAATGTATTGATTTAAATCTCTAGATCTGCCCATTTAGCATCTTTTAGGAGCACAAAAATTCATGTAAAAAGTTGAGTTTATAAAAATTAGCGACACCAGCAATACAAAAAAAAAGAAAGGAAAACATGGCTTCACTAGAGAGGCAGAATGTTCTTTCAATGTGAAGAAGTATTTCTCCATATAATCTTGTTTTGCTTTCATCTGGTTTGTAAAAACAGGCCAGCATAATAAAAAGATATGACACGTTTTCCCCATTTGATGATAAAATTTATTTAAAGGATCTGGTCAGGAGGAAACAATTTAGGATGATACAAAGTATAGTTAATCTTAAAATCATAGACTATCTTCTGGAGTATTAGACCATCCAGCATAGTCTTCATTAGCTGATAAGGAAAATACTTATTCTTAAAATCTGACAGGGAATTAAGATGAGAACATGACTGTGGTCCCTTATTAAATCATAAGGGTCCTTGGGGTTTACTTCTGCTTCTCATTAAAGTCTGGCATTAATGCTACAATGGCATTTTGCCATTTTTAAATCTAGTTAATCCTGCACAGTTAAACCTCAGTTGAACCAATCATTAATCAGAAGAGCTTTAAAGTTAAAACTGTTTAGTAACACCGTATCTAATGACTAGGAACACCTAATGAGGTCAGAGAGATGAAATACTTGACATGGAATGGCATTAAAAGAAGATGGTTTCAATTATATGCATTTCTGTGTCAAAATGTTCTTACGTGAGTTTATTAGTTTGCTCTATTGTAAAGGATCAAAGTTGTCATGCTTATATAGTTGCACATTGTATTTTTTTCTCATACTTTCTATGTTCAAACCATTTTTTTATGCCCAAGACGTGTATTCATCAAGCAGTACAGGGAGGGAAGCAATTTTGAAATGGGTGATAAAGTAGCTAGTCAGAAGAGTAGGAGAACCACTTATGCCTTCGATGGATTTTTGCCACTGAGCTGATCAGTACCCAATCATGGGATGCTTTGTGTTATGTCAATCAGACAAAACAGTACAATATGCAGTCATCATCACATCTTGTTTTCTTTATGCTTTCCTCCATGTACAAATTCTGCAAGTGCTTAAAATTTAGCAAAAAAAAAAGAAGAATCTGTACTTTTTCACTATAAACTCCTAACTTCACTGATAAAAAACAAACAAACCAATAATTCAGAGAAAGATCGACTTTACATCTGCTTATCTGAGTACTGAGCTGCAGTTTCCCCTTCGATAAGCATCATATCAAACTGCCAGTTTGTGCCAAAGGTGAATTCCATGGTGGTGAAGAAATGAAAATGCAACAGACTTGAGTGATTTTATACTATCAAATGCTACAAAATCTTCTCAGATATTTTTGATGTGAAATACACTTTTAAAAATACTACTTTTGACAAAAGTCTGACAGTTTCATTGGTTTTCCTTTGGAAACATCCCTAAAATGAATACTGTCTCCACAGGTTGGTTGGGTCCATGGGTAGATCTAGGATTTTGAAAAGGTGCATCATCATATATAATATGGTGCATATTTTTCTCCAGTTAAAACAAACAAACAAACTAGAAACTTTACTAATATATTAGGGGATTAGGGCTATATTATTCAGTTTAATATTTCACCAAAAATGCATATCACTGTTTGGGAGGTGGGGACTGACTGCTAGCTCCAGGGTGGGGAAGTCTACCGGGGCCAAAGGGGGAGGGGAAGTAGAGCTGTTACCCCAAGCCTGGTCATGGACAGAACTATAGCTTGTATGCCAGCTTGTGGGTCCTCCATGGCCCCCCTTACTGCCCCTGTCCCCTTAAATCCACTTTGTCCCCCATTACCCCACATATCCCTGCATACTCAGCCCCAACTCACTGTGCCTCAAGCCCCAGCAGACCACACCATCCGCTTACACCCCACTGAGTCCTACCCTGCCTCCTCCCTGCCCCAGGAATCCATTGCACAGACCCATTCCCATCAAACCCCAGCCCCCAACCCCTCACCAACCCCTTTACTAAGCCCTCCGCTCCCCTTCTGTGTACCCACATTTCATTGCAGCCCCCTTCACTCACAATCCTTCTTGCTCCCAACCCCCTTTCATATCTCGTTTCATTCACACTGCCCTCCTCAACTCCAAATCCCATGTGCCCGTCACATATCCCACCCCCATAATGCCCAAGTCCCTCTACCCCACCAGCTCCCTTTCCCCACAAAAGGCCCTTGATGCCTGTGACACCCCACCACCCCCATCCAGCTCTTCATGGCCAATGGGAGTCCATTCCTCTCAGAAGCCCTCTCAAACATTTTCCCCTACGAACACAGGGCAGGTTGGAGCAGGGATGCAACTCTTCTTCCTCCCTCCCACCATGACTCCTCCAGACTCCTTCAGGAAAATTGTAGAAGAAAAGAGAAGTTAACAGAAGATCAAGAGTTGTTAATACCTATGGAGTGAAGAGGTTAGCAGGAATCAAATAGCTAATAATGAGCCATGAAGCAAAGTGACTCCCTCAGCTCTTCCTGGATAGAAAAGCATAGAAATGTGGCTGTCCCTGCAAGACAGGCTGGTTTAATTTGAGTGGAGTAGGAATCAAAGAGGTGTGTGAATGCACCAATTCTCTTCTCTCACCTCGCCCCACCCTAAACCCTGGAATTGCCCCTTGGTCCCAGAAAGATTTACAGCTCCAGCATGTCATGATGCAGAGCTGGGCATCTCCCTCCCCAATTTCCCTCCCTTTTTTGCTCAGTGTAGCTAACAGGCCTTCCCCAGGACAGGTCAGCCCTCTGTATGCCATCACTCCTAGAGTCCTTCTATAATCTGAAATAGCTTTAAAATTCAACTCTCTATCTTGTTGGCTCACAAAGGGTTCCTATATTGTTCCTAGAATGCAACAGGAATTTAAAGATTAGTGAAAAAATACTGACTTTATGAACTACAGAGTTCAAACTAAGTGTACTGCTGAGCCCACCACGCATGAGAATTTCCATTAAATTCAGACTTAGCTGTAACGTTCACTTTGTCAGTCGAAGCACAATGAGACGAACAAAAGGAATTACCTTACACAGGGCCTCTTTATTGCATGATGCTACAGAGCAAGGAAAGCATACAAGTATATATTACTACATCTCGGCCAAGCAGCCCACTTGAGGGCACTTGGGAAGCGTGCAATGTGAAGGAGAAAAAAGAAAAAAACTTCCCCATCCATAATCAAGGAGGAGCCCTCCAACTGCCACTGTGGCAGGCTCTCCAGGTGTACAATTGAGATAATTCCAGTGCAGATGGGGGAAGTGAACAGCAGTAAATAATACTCTAGCCCTGGTCTTTACCCAGACCCACTGAAGTCCTGTTCTGGCTTGCTGTGTGCCAGAGCTAGGTTCCAGGAACCTCTGAATCTAAGACTTGTCCTGCAGAGAGGAAGGACACTCACTACAGTTCATAGGTTTCTCTGCAACTGAGGGCTAGGATTTATTACAAATCAGGAAAAAATCCACTTATTTCCACCCTACACCAAGACATAAGTAGCTGATAGCCAAATTGTGACAAGCCCCTTTGAAGCCATGCTGCAAGGAAGGCAAAGGTGGTCTCTCCTATATGCACCACACAAAGGTTTGTCACAGTTGCAAGGTTGGAATTCAAGAGACTCTCCTGCCCACAAAGTGGATGGCAGGGGGGAAGCATGTTATCCATCATAACTGATGCTGCAGTTCATGCTAAAGCCTGGTTCACTAGGATGGCACAATCCTTCTGTGCACTGGGCTGCAGGGAAGGGAACAGGACATTGCCCGTCCCATAGTGCCCCACACTGCTCTGCTGCAGCTGATACACAAATGCTGCAATTTGTTCCTAAGAGTCTCCTGCCCTAAAGGCTCCAATTCCCCACTATCAGACTTTGTTTCTGGCACTGCTGCATGGAGCTGAAAATGACAGTATCTGGGGTATTAAATCACTGTTTATAGAATCATTCTTATCAGAAACAGTGAGAAAGCAGTTAAGCGTAGCACGCTCAGCTCTATGGCCAGCAGCACTTCTTTAAATGTCATTACACTCCTGTCTGTCATCTGGCATAATGGACACTGTTACTACTTTCCAGGTACCTGCCTCCATATCAAGGCTGACCTTCAATAATTGTTTCATTACTGTCAAGTTCTCCTTGAAAGCCTGTGATATTCTGCAGCTAACAGTGAACAAGAACAAATTGAACTGCAGAAAGTGGAGGTAGGCTTGTACCAGCTAGTCAGGTAAATTAAGTATTTATTTTTATTTCTAAACCCATTTTCCTTGTTACGCACATTTTTTTGCAAAAGCCATTTATTTATTATCAGTCCCCATGTATATGAAGACTTGGATTTTCAAGACTTATGACAGACATTTTCCACCTTGGCTCTGAACAAAACTTCTAGAAAACTAGCTTACAGGTGCTTGTATCTAAAACACCATGTACATATAGAGCTGGTTTGAAGCTAACAGGTTTGCTGTACTATAATTCAATGAAAGAAGCTTTTTATAAACCTTGATTTATCAATACTTGACTAATCAGCTTTTAAATTCAACTCTCTATTTCACAGTACTTAACTTATCAGTCTGCATACCATTCTACACTACACCTTATTTTAAAAAAATATGACCTAAGCAGCCAGCCAGTGACCATTACTTTAGCTGGCCAAAATCTTAGCAATGACTCACATTTGTTGCAAATATTTTTTTATTTAGTTAGCAAATCATCCCATTTTTTGCCACTAATGAATTTGTTATCCAACAGTACTAGCAAATATCATTTAGTCTAATATTTATCAGTGTTATTTGTGAACTGTGCACTTTGACTACTTGCTATTAATTATTCATAAAATATTCGTGGTCATCCAGGCCACCGTGTCATGGTTCTGCCTGACAACTGGATGAAAAGCCTTTTAACAGGACAAGTGTAAAGAACCTTTTAACAATTAAATAGGCAATAATAAATAGGTAATTATTTACTCCTGGAATTAATTTCTGGAAAAAAATTAATGTTCACATATTTGTTCACAAACATCCACATTTGTCTCCATGCTGGGAAATAACTGCCTTGCAAAAAATTAGATCACACTTGACTTTTTTGTGATTTGGTGCATGGCTTGTTTGTTTGCACGGTTGTGGGGGGCAGGGAGAGGAAGGGGACTAGCTCTGTTCCACTGTCTTCATCTCAGTAGTTTCTGCTCCACACAACTACACAACATAGTTCAAGCTGAGTCCTCTGTTAGATCAATGTGGTCCCCATTTTCAAGAAGGGGAGGAAGGAGGACCCAGGCAACTACAGGCCAGTCAGTCTCACCTCCATCCTTACAAAGTCTTTGAAAAAATTATCAAGGCTCACATTTGCGAGAGCCCGGCAGGACAAATTATGCTGAGGGGAAACCAGCATGGGTTCGTAGCAGGCAGATCGTCTCGGACTAATCTAGTGTCTTTTTATGACCAGGTTACAAAACGCCTGGATACAGGAGGAGGGGTGGATGTCATATACTTAGACTTCAGGAAGGCCTTCGATACGGTATCCCACCCCATACTGGTGAACAAGTTAAGAGGCTGTGACTGGGACGACTACACAGTCCGGTGGGTGGCAAATTGGCTAGAGGGTCACACCCAGAGAGTCATAGTGGATGGGGCGGTTTCGACCTGGAAGGGTGTGGGCAGTGGGGTCCCGCAGGGCTCGGGCCTTGGACTGATACTCTTCAATGTCTTCATCAGCGACTTGGACGAGAGAGTGAAGTGTACTCTGTCCAAGTTTGCGGATGACACAAAACTGTGGGGAGAAGGGGACACGCAGGAGGGCAGGGAACAGCTGCAAGCAGACCTGGACAGGTTGGACAAGTGGGCAGAAAACAACAGAATGCAATTCAACAAGGAGAAATGCAAAGCGCTGCACCTAGGGAGGAAAAATGTCCAGCATCCCTACTGCCTAGGAAATGACCTGCTTGGTAGCACGGAAGCGGAAAGGGATCTTGGAGTCCTAGTGGACTCCAAGATGAACATGAGTCGGCAGTGTGATGAAGCCATCAGAAAAGCTAATGGCACTTTATCGTGCATCAGCAGATGCATGACAAATAGATCCAAGGAGGTGATACTTCCCCTCTATCGGGCGCTGGTCAGACCGCAGTTGGAGTACTGCATGCAATTCTAGGCGCCACACTTCAAGAGGGATGTGGATAACCTGGAGAGGGTCCAGAGAAGGGCCACTCATATGGTTAAGGGCTTGCAGGCCAAGCCCTATGAGGAGAAACTAGAGAACCTGGACTTCTTTAGCCTCCGCAAGAGAAGGTTGAGAGGCAACCTTGTGGCTGCCTATAAGTTCATCACGGGGGCACAGAAGGGAATTGGTAAGGCTTTATTCACCAAGGTGCCCCCAGGGGTTACAAGAAATAATGGCCACAAGCTAGCAGAGAGCAGATTTAGATTGGACATTAGGAAGAACTTCTTCACAGTTCGAGTGGCCAAGGTCTAGAATGGGCTCCCAAGGGAGGTGGTGCTCTCCCCTACCCTGGGGGTCTTCAAGAGGAGGTTAGATAGGCATCTCGCTGGGGTCATCTAAACCCAGCACTCTTTCCTGCCTATGCGGGGGGTCGGACTCGATGATCTGTTGAGGTCCCTTCCGACCCTAACATCTATGAATCTATGAATCTACCACTTCCTGAGCCAGAGGAGTCTGGGATACATGTTAGCTGACACAGAAAGGAGCAATACCTTATTTTGAAGGGAGGGATGTTGGAAATCCTGGGATATCCATGACATTCCAAATCAGAACAGAGAGAATGCCTTCACATTCATAATGATGCCCTCAGTGCACATTTTTACGTAACATTTATAAAACATAAAGCCCCCTCATGGTGTTTTTCATAATCTTATGACTTCCTTAGCTATCATGTGCTGTATCAGTTTAATATCTGATCTCCACCTGATCCTCCATCTGGGAAATAACAGGACATTCTGCCCTTGTATGGGATTTCTCCACATCTAGCTCCTGTGGATTGGTAAAAGACAGCATCCTTCCACAAGAGGGCAGTCAGTACTTACATTTAAAACTTAATATAAAAGCTAAAAGCCATTGAGCATACTTGCAGCTTTAAGTTCCAGTCTGGTTGACTTTTCTCGTATCCCTGTATTTTGTGGAAAAGCAAAATATTTGACATTTTCCTGTTTCTTTAAAATGCTCTCTTTCAACACACTGCTGTGTTCAAAGGTCTTAAAAATATAATCCTACTTTTCTCAACCTTATTTTCTTATTTATATGTCACATGCTGACAGCAATGAGGGTTAAATTTAAAAAGCAGTGTCTGATTTTATCCCTCAGATAAGAGCCTAGGGGTCCATGTTCTCTTTCTTCTCTAGCACTGCCTCTGGCAGTTCTTCCTCCGCAGTCCCGGCGTTTCCTCCAACCTCGAATCAATGAACTCCTCATGGCAGAGGATGCTTTGGAGCCTCACCACCTCCTGTAGCTCTCTTGCCGGCTCCCCGAGAGACAGTACCAGGAGGCACCATTCATGTCACAGGAACCTCCACCTCCACCCCCAACAAACTGATAGAGCAGTGGTTCCCAGTACTGGGGTCACAACCCCATTTGGGGTTGCAATGATAAAAATGGGGTCATGCACTCCTGGTGAGGGAGGCATGGGGGAGCACATACATGCCCCCCACATTTGTGCATGGGGTGGGTGCGGATATGGGCTGCTGGCTGCACCACCATGACAAGGCACCTCTGCTTGCCTGGCAGCAGTGGGGGGCACAACTCTGTGCCACCGCTGCTGCTGGGCAGGCAGGGGATACCTCGCTGTGGCAGTGTGGGCTCAGGCACTGCTGAGGGGTGGGCAGAGGTCTAGGCTCCACACTCTGCTCTAGCAGTAGCAGCTGCTGCCTTCCACAGGCAACAGCCAGGGCTCAAACACTGCTGGGGAGTGGCTGCAGGCCCTGGCTCTGGTCCTGTAGTCCTGGCATCTGGGGGACCCCACCGGCAGGGCTGGGGGTGCAAGAGGCTGCAGGTTGTGAGTGAGGAGCACCAACACATGCAGATATATTCCCTGTCCTGGAGAATCCAACTGTTGCTGCTTGAGTTCTGGGTACTAAGCTGTACATCAGGTATTATTACTGAAGTGCACAAGAGGCCGGTGCCATTGAAAGGAATATGATGACGAGAGACATTCTTCTCACTGCTATTTCAAAGGGTACCAAAGAGACTGCTCAAAACACATGGTGATCAATCAAATACCTAAAGATAACACTTTTAGCTTGTAGATGCATATGTGAATCAATTCACATCTTTCCAGACTTACTGCAACTGATTGAAAAAACTCCCCCTCTCTTTTTTACTGAAATACCAAGGAAGATGGATTATGACTGCAAGACCAAGTTTTCTCTTACAAGTGAAGAGTTGTTCCTTATGTGAGCGGACTCCATCCTGTGCACTGAATGAAGCAAGGGTCCTGAGAAAAAAATGTGATTGTGTAACCAAAAGCAGCTCATCAAGGGGCCAAATTCAGGCATTGCCTAACTTTTAAGTGCTTGGCTACAACCTTTAAGAATGCTCTTTTAACATAGCTTTGGGGTAATATTAATAACAAATGACAATATAAATGGTAACGTACCATTTGGCTGGCTATCACTGCCTGACCTGTGCCAATTAAAATGAATAGTACTGATGGAAAGATAGACAAATGTATGGTGATGTGTCTGAATTCCCTAGGTTACATTATGAGATAAATAAACAGTGTTGGGTCTTAGAAGCAAACTGTTATTTATCCAATATTAACTTTTTTTTTGGAGAAAAACAAGAAATGGTTTTGAAGGCACTGAGGTCTGAAATACATACTGCATCTTCTAAACTAGCAAACAGAAAGCATCCATTACACTGAAAACAGAGAATCAAATTCCAGGGAAATTTGCACTGCAACTTATTCAGTTCCTCAGAGCCAGAGTTTTTGAGTCCTTTTCCCAGCCCTTCACTCAACTGAATGACCTTGAATAAGTGAGAAAAAGTAGGTATACAATGTATGTACTGAACAGGAAGTTTGAGAGACTTAATTAAATATCTGTAAACACTTTGAGCTACTATTTTTCTTTTTAGGTCTTTATATCATACCAATCATCAACTATTCAGATGAGAATGTTGGAGACAATACAGACTAATTACCATGAACTAAAAACAATATTCAACTAGACCAAATTTCTGTATGGCGTTCCTTTGGTTTTATAAGGGTTCCCTTTTTTATTTAGACATATCCTGTAACAAAGAGACTGTTTTTTTATTATTTAAGTCAAGAATTATCATAAAACTAGTAGTAAGTTGACAATAAAGGTTTTGCAGTTTTCTGATGCCCGTTCGTAAGCATTTACTTCTCCTCTAGCCCATATAAAATCTACCTATAGCAAGAATTGTTATTCTTATTCTTATTTCCTTGCCAACACTGAAAATATTCAGAAGATGTAATCTATTTAGGGAATATGGATTTTTGTTTATAAAACAGAATTTACATATGGCAAAAATAATAAAGTAGCAGTGGATTTTTTTTCCGTTTGATTTGGCAAAGTCACTGACAACGAGGCTCTTGATACATAAGAATAATATAAAGAAAACTTTCTGTAAAGGAGAGTTGTACAATGTGCACAGTAGAGGGCAGCAGTGGTATTAATTGGAAATTTGCTTCCCCCTCACTAATCTCCCTTTACTCTTCTAAACAGGAATATTTTTTTTTTTTGCAGGAGCAGCCACTTAATCTACCTTGACTATAAGCCAACTAATTCATTTGACAGAAGAAGATAAAAAGGACCTCACACACAGAGAACAAAGGCAGAGAGAGCCTATCAACTACAAGGTGACACAGAACCTCTCAGAAAACCCACAAGGAATGTGTACTTGACTCACAGGGTCATCTAAGTGATGCTGAGCCTCATTCTCCCTTCACTTCTGCTGATGTAAAGCCAGTAGTAACTCCATTTCAGTCAATTGTGGTATAGATTAGATCAGAATTGTACTTCCTGTATTATGAATATCAGTATGTACTTGGTGCTGAGCACTCTTGAGTTACTCAATGCCATATAAGTTCACCCCACCATGAACAGAGCCAAGAAAATTATTTGTGGTGCACGTTTTTATTTTCCTTACTGAAATCTGCCTGGCTTCAGCTAAGCCAGAGCAATTTTATAACATTTTTCAGTGTAATTTATTACACATTATTTGTCACAATCAAGGAGATTTTTTAATAAAGAAAAAAGCCACTTGTTTATATATGTATATCACCAAGTGGCTTTTTTCTTCATTAAAAAAAATCTCCTTGATTGTGACAAATAATGTGTAATAAATTACACTGAAAAATGTTATAAAAATTTAAACGTAGAGTATATTCCACATTTATGAATGTTTTAAAAAGCTGATGGAAGATACAAGGCAGCCTTCCTATTAGGTATGAAGAACAAGGACATCCAGGATTCTGTCTTTGCTGACTACTGACTAGCCTTAATCTATAAGGTACTTTACAAATATTAGCTCTTACATAACATTCTCATATAGACCACTATTTTGCAGGTGAAGGAAAAATTAAGAAAATGGTATGCTTGATGTCACAAACCAAGTTAGGCCCAGGACTGGAATCTAAGGGTGCCTATACATGCTCGGGGGGTGGAAGCATTTTAATTAGAGTGGTTTCTGGAGAGCTGCTCTAATTAAAAGGCCTCGCTGTCATGTGTATTAAGACCCCTTGGGTTTAAAAATGGCTGCAGGACACTATCTAAACCCCTTTCAACAAGGTTTAGATAAAGCTCCCCAGCAGCCATTTTTAAACCCATGGTGGCTTACACATGTGACGATGAGGCCACGCTGGAGTGTTTTAATTAGAACACAGAACAGACTCAATTAAGTGAGTCCACTCTGACAAGTTCTAATTAGAATGCAAACCAGCACATGTATGGGCAGCCTAAGTTTCTCTGGTGATCCAGTCTCATAGCTGGTAGGGTCAGAAGGGACCTAAGTAGATCATCAAGTCTGCCCCCCTGCCATGGGCAGGAAAGGATGCTGGGGTCACATGACCCCGGCTAGGTGATTGTCTAGCCTCCTTTTGAAGACCCCCAGGGTAGAGGTGAGTACCACTTCCCTTGGAAGTTGGTTCTAGCTCCTAGCCGCCCTGACAGTGAAGTAGTGCCTCCTGATATCTAGCCTGAATCTACTCTCAGTCAACTTATGACTGTTGTTCCTTGTTACTCCTGGTAGTGCTCGGGGGAACAGGGATTCTCCCATTGCCTGCTGGTCCCCCTTGCCAAGTTTACAGGTAGCCACCAGATCCCCTCTCAGTCTTCCTTTGTGGAAGCTGAATAGGTTCAGGTCCCATAGCCTCTCCTCATAGGGCCTACCCTGCTGCCCCCTAATCATTCGAGTGGCCCTCCTCTGGACCCTCCCAATGCTATCCACATCCCACCTGAAGTGCAGCACCCAGAACTGGATGCAGTATTCCAACTCCAGCCTGACCAATGTCTCATAGAGGGGGAGGATCACCGCTCGTGACCTGCTCATGATGCATCTATGGATGCTTTACAAGGCATGGTTAGCCTTCCTGACCTCGTTCCCACATTGGCAGCCCATAGTGTCATAGTTGGTAGGGTCGGAAGGGACTTGAGCAGATCATCAAGTCTGACCCCCTGCCATGGCAGGAAAGAGTACTGGGGTCAAATGACCCCGGCAAGGTGTTCATCCAGCCTCCTCTTAAAGACCCCAGGGTAGGAGCCACCACCACTCCTCTTGGAAGTTGATTCCAGATCCTAGCTGCCCTGACAGTGAAATAGCACCTCCTGATATCTAGCCTAAATCCACCCTCTGCCAGCTGTGACCATTATTTCTTGTCACTCCTGGTAGTGCTCGGGGGAACAGGGACTCCCCCAGTGCCTGCTGGTCCCCTCTGACTAGTTTGTAAATGGCCACTAGATCCCCCCTCAGTCTTCTCTTGTGGAGGCTGAACAGGTTCAGGTCCCTTCACCTCTCCTCGCAGGGCCAGCCCTGCTGACTCCTGATCATGCTAGTGGCCCTCCTCTGGACCCTCTCCATGTTGTGCACATCCCTCCTGAAGTGCAGTGCCCAGAACTGGACGCAGTACTCCAACTGCGGTCTGACCAGTGTTGCATAGAGGGGGAGGATCACCTCCTTGGACCTGCTTGAGATGCATCTGTGGATGCATGACAAGGTGCGGTTGGCCTTCCTGACCGCTTCCCCACATTGTTGGCCCATGTTCATTTTGGCATCAATAATGACTCCAAGATCCTTTTCTGCCTCTGTCCTGATGAGAAGGGAGTTCCCCAGCCTGTAGGTATGCTGCTGGTTCCTCCTCCCCAGGTGCAACACCTTGCACTTGTCCATGTTGAAACCCATCCTATTCTCATCCGCCCACCTCTGTAACCTCTCCAGATCTAGTTGTAGCCTGCCCCTCTCTTCTAGCATGCTCATTTCTTCCCACATCTTAATGTCATCTGTGAACTTGAACAAGGTGCTTTTCACCCCCTTGTACAGTTCTCATTTGAATCCACTAAAATATTTATCCATGCTACTTACCCGCATACGTACATTTATTTACACAAATAAGTCCCATTTATGTCAGGTCTGGCACTACTCCATGTTAAATGCATGAAGGATAAGAGCGTTACATTAAAAAGTTCTTAAATTTGGGTACACAAAATTAGGAATAACTAAATAGCCTTATTTTCAAAGGAGCTGCAGGTGCTCTAAGCATTTAAAAGGCAGGCCATTTCTCCTTTGCCATGTACATATTGATTTGTGTGTCCATACTAGGCATCTTCAGCTGAAAATGTTGTTTTTAAATCCTCTGCCAAAGTTTTTATCCAAGCTGGTCATTGAAATGATACCTAAGAAATAATATATGCATGTTATTATATTACAAAACACCCCTGTACCCAGCAGAAGTAGAAGTTTATTTAACAAGATGTTTAACCATGAACCTACAGTTGGCCTTACTTTTAAATAACAATGACAGGACAGGGGGGTACCAAGGGCACCCATCGGGGGGGCTTAAATGTCTCTACAGTAATGCTAGGAGCATGGGGAACAAGCAGGAGGAACTTGCACTCCTGCTTGCAAGCAACAACTTTGACCTGGTTGGACTAACTGAAACCTGGTGGAACCCTACTCACAATTGGGCAGTAGGCATTGAGGGTTACAGGTTGTATAGACAGAATAGAGTGGGGAAAAAAAGGGTGCAGGGCATTGCTCTCTATGTTAAGGAACAATATAATCAAGATGGGATCAGAGGAGGGCCAAACCAAGCTACTGTGGGTCAGGATACAAGGAGGTTGAGGAGAAAGGGACTTGGTAGTGGAGGTCTACTATACACCACCACACCGGGAAGATGAGCTAGACCTGGAATTCTCCAGACAGCTCTCAGAGGCCATACGGTCAAGAGATATGGTTGTCATGGGTGACCTAAACTACTCTGACATCTGCTGGGAGGAGCAGTCAGCCAAATCCAACCACTCACATAGGTTCTTAACCTACATACAGGACCTCCACCTAATGCAGGAGGTATATGATCCCCTGTAACAGGGGGCCTCCTCGGGGCTGATCTAACTGTGACCCGCCCACCTGTTCCTGGGCTAACCGCCCACCTTCTCGCCCACCACACCTTGTTGTTAATTAATTAGTTAAAGATGTAATTAAGTGGGAGGCCACCCATTTTCTGCCCCAATGCCACAGGGCACTATCTGCAGCTCCATTCCTCCCCTACACCACAGCCCAAGCTTCACAGATGGCGTCCAGATGTTCCTACAATCACTGGCCCCCACTGGGCCCCAAAATCCTCTGGTTTGAACCCCTCTATGATCCCCCCAATCAGGCAGCCTCATCCACCTTCATCCTCAGCGAACATGGCTCCCTGAGCTGCTTCCCCCTCATGGGTGTGGTCTCCCCTGGGACCTTGGGCTACTAGCCCTGGCCCACCTCCAGGCCAGTCAGAACCCCAAGCCCTCAGCTGTTGGGCATTCCTTGCGGTGGGCCCCTTGGCCCTTTGACCCTTCCAGTTCTGGCCCCAGCATTGACCAGTCAGGAGAAATGTCAGACAGGTTCTTGAGTCCATGGCCTCACACTCTTCCTCTGGGGTCCACCATCCAGACCCTCCGAACAAGGGGTAACCCACCCAGTTGTGAGGGCTAGGGGTTAAGGCACCCCAACCCACCTTTCATCGGCGTGGTAACTGGCCTGGCATTTCCTGGGGGCTCCCGCGCCACTGAGGGCCCCACCAGGCCACCCACTCCTGGCAGGGTAAAGTTTTAGGTCATGCCCAGGACCAGGAGTTTCCTTACCATTCCCTACAGCTCCTCCCTTACCTCCAGTTGATATCAGCAGCCCTCCGGCCAGGCGGTGTTGTTGCCTGGCCCCAGCAGCAGAACTGCCGTGCTTATTTGGGCAGCCCCAAATCCAAAATAGCTGCCCTCATCAGGCACCTGGCGGCTGCCAGCTCCAGGCCCTTAAAGTGGCAGGCACACAAAGTGCTCTGCCACATCCCCCTAAGGAAAACGCCCTGCTGGACCCAGTGTTAGCTACAGGGGATGACCTGGTGAGGAATCTGCATGGATAAGGTAAGCTAGGGGATAGTGACCATCAATTGATTGAATTTACTATCTGGTGAAGGTTGGGTAAACTAACCAGCAGGGCTGAAGAACTAAGTCTGAAGTTAGACTTCAGAAAGGCTAACTTCAATGTGCTCAGGAGATTAGTTAAAGAGTCATTAAAGCTCAAGAGCACTGGCAAAATGGGGGTCCAGGAAGGATGGTCATTCCTTAAGGGAGTGATCCTATGGACACAGAAGGAGACAATCCCATTGTGCATAAAAGGGGGCAAAGGGGCCAAGAAGCCCTCTTGGCTGAACAGGGAAGTCCAGGAAAGCCTAAGGGCAAAGAAAGAGGTATACAGGCTGTGGAAACAGCGGGTAGTATACCTTCCAGGCTCGCACTTGCAGGGAATCAGTTAGGAAGGC